TACTATTCAATCGAGGAAACAATGCGTGCTCACGTCTTGGCTGTTGATTAAATATAGCTTTAGATTCCATCAAACGGACGACTTGATCGAAGCGGCGACTCTATGGATTAATGCGTTAAATAATCGACAGGTGCCAAGTGTGCCGATAGTAGAGTTCGATGACTAACAATGCCCCAAATGATATTCAAATGTCAAATAATTTGAGCATCTGCCCTGCACCCAGCGCGGATGCGGCGTAACGCTTCACGCTTGGCAGCTATTGTACAATTGTATGCATTACCGCAACCGGCGTAAGGTGATCAGGTGCTGACCCTATCATATCTGTAACATAAATTTAACTTCAACGTTGTAAATACACAATATTCTAATAGGAATATTTTCATTTCATTATTACGCTTACCTCGACACTTTGTTTTTTGATATTTTTAAACGTAATTAGGTAATTTATACTAATAAAAAATATTAATATCGTTTTCTAACTAGAAAATCTTAGTCAAACTTATAAAATCGGAATTGTTTCTGAAAATTAATTACAAATATCAGACAGACGTAGCAAAAAACAGTGTAATCTTGCTTGAAGATTATTAATACTATTGAGATATTTAACAACAGGAAATAAATCTATACATATAATAAAATTGTAACTAAGCCGAATCTTTACATTAAATATTTTTTGGAAAATCTTATTGAATTAGATTTTATTATCGATACAGAGGCCGAATCTATAGTTTTTAGAATTTTTGTGTCCGTCTGCCTGTTACCGCATCACGGCAAAACCATTAAATAGATTTTGATGAAATTTGGTGTGATAATAGCTAGTTATCCGGGTCAACATATAGGATATTTTTTACTGCAGGAAAACATCTCATTTCTGAGAAAAAATACAAAAACTGCATTGTAAGAGGATACTAATATGTTAAACCTAAGAATTTGGCTTTTGGTCATCTGAACGCGGGCGGAGCCGCGGCAATGCTAGTACCTTGATAAATATACATTTTTGACTTGTTTAAAAGAGAGAATTCGAATGAGTCGTAATATGAACATTCACATTTCGCTAATCCCGCACCGCTACCGTTACATAAGACAGCTGAGTAGAATATAAATGTAAAACACAATAAATTTCATGCCCCGTAGGAAATGAATATTCATCACGAAATCGCCATGCATATTCTCTTTTGCTTCAGAATTTTGTGTTCCCTACAAACATTTTGGTTTCGAGCAGAAAATAAACCTTATTTGCAAGGGTCATAGTCAAAAATCGCACGGACAGCGTAGAACATTAAAGTGCGGGTCGGCGCCTCAACGAGTTAGCTCTCGTAAATTTCAACATATAGTAAAGTGATTTACGAATAATTGTTGTGTTGGCGTATAACTAGAGAAATCTTTCCGCTGTTTGCCGTCGGTTAATTTATATTATGAGGCTTAGGTAATTCGCGAGCCACGAGTAATTGGTCTATAGAACAATAGCTTTTGTCATACTCTTATCTCTTATAGAACGTTTGTCTCTCTTCAAAGCCCGTCTAAAGAACATTCGCATGACATTAATTATGAGTCGTAAGTAAGGATTTTCAAACAATTGAATATTATTCATTAATGCTTGAAAGCTAAAATTAACATTGGAACCTTCTCACTAAAATATTTCATATACTACGAAGTCGTTTAAAATAGTAAACCTTTATAAATTAAATAGCAAAAGTAGATAACTGGATTAATTAAAAGATATTAACGTATTACCTAAGTAGATTAAATAGGTTATACTGTCGGCATCAATGTATTTATTTTATTATAATGGGGATGTTAACAATTTTTCAGATTTGCTTTTATTTTGAAGATTGACTCATGTTTACCATAAAAAAAATATTTTAACTAAAAATATTTGTATTTTCGATGAGAAAATATATAAAAATAGAGTAATTTTAAATTTTCCCGCTAAAACACTCTAACAACTGTCACCTGACTGACATGACGTCACTAACCGCAAAACATTGGTCGCGATTCATGACTGTATGTTCCGTTTATGTGTTTTCTTATTTTTACTTGAATATAAACAATCAAAATAGATAAATAGTATTAAACGTAAAACTGTACTTACAAAGATGTTTTCACGTTCCTGAATTCTGAACCATAAAAATCTTTGTTTCTTGCAAAAAAGTTTGCCACCATCAAAGAATCTACGAGTATATTTGGTAAGTTGGAACTATTCCCTTTAGTGAATCCAGATTCCATCGTCGTATTAATAATAAAGTAATTCACAAATTAATTCCTTGCTAAGATCGCAAATTACATATATGAGAAAATGCAGAAATGTAAACAGTCTTTGAAAGCTTGTTTTGCGATTAGTGACGTAATAAGCTCATATTGATGTTTGCAGTCACGTGACAACAGATTATAAATAAGTAAAGCATTTAAAATCATTTTTAATAAGTTTATTAAGTTATATTAAATTATAAAGATGTGATTTTCGATATTCTAATAATACAAACTATCATAAAATTAACATTAAACATTAATTTGTGATTAGTGTTAACATCCCTAACACGCTGTTTATATATTATCAAATATAAAATAGAAAAGAAAAGAACATCTGAAATTTTAAAGGTAAACAATAAACATTTTCTCGCAATTTCCACTTAAAAAATATGATTACGAAAAAAATTAAAAATATGATAGACATCCAAATGTGGCTTTAAATTTAATTAATATAGCGTTTGAAACTTCATTTTCTATGAAAATACTCTATTAAACGGTGAAGTAAATGAGACAAGGTGTTTCGGACGCTAATCGAAACATATGTTAATCGTAACTTGTGTATCGGCCTGAAGCGAATTTAGTTTTCGCACAATGCAATTTGAGTGCATATTACACAACGAACGAGCTACGAACGCTTTTTATTGCGGCATCGTGAGATCTTATCTTGGAACTGCCACTTCCAGCAGGCAAATTTCAGATTCCCTTAACAACGCCTTCAATTTTGTACTTTAACACGTTAAACCGATGAGTCCTTATCGGCTGACGTCTATCGCATAGCACTAGTGTGCGCTTGAGCTCAAACGTCAAATACACACGCACCCTATCATACGTGTTTAAAGAATTCAACATAAAATCGGCAATAAAATTGAAAACATTTTGTTACGTTTTAAATAAGTTTCGCGCTGTGAACTGCGCCCGTCAAACAACTTTGATCTTTGTTCTCGATTCGAAATGAACAAATTCGTACGCTTGTTTTAATACTGAAATTATTTCTGGATCGATAAGAAGCGTTAATTTTACGAGCCAGTGATAATTTGCTAACTTCCGACAGAACATCGCCCTAGTTGAATCGTTCCAAACACTTACCACATAAAATTATTCACCTACCTATTCACAAAGGAAAATCCCAATTACCCACAAGTACAAGGGTACGGTGTTCATTCTCACTGTATCAGGTTATAAAGTCACTAAGCATTCATATGGTCATGTTTAGAAAAATGATATCAAAATGATTTAATATTAAAAAAAGGTACTATTTGCATTAACCTATATCGCAAGATTGTACACAATTAAATCTGAAATTACCAAAAAACCGAAAAGTCCACCAAATCGTATAATAAAACATAATTTTTTTTTCTTTAATTATGTAGAAACAGAGAACGATTAAGATTACCTAAAATTATTGTTATTATATTTTGCAAAATATGACTGGCATCACTAATTTTTGGAGTCCATGCTATCAATGTCAAAAACGACAAATTACGAGTACCTACTTTCTAACTAGAAGATTGGTAAATTAAAAAAATCTATTGATGGATGAGTCACTTTCATGTTTAATTTAAATAAAAATTTTAAAACAAATATTTTATATAAGTACATTATCTATAGACTATAATGCAAATTAAGAGTAATTTCAATAAAAATATACTAAAATACGATCGAATAAACGAATGCAAAATATTCTGACATTAGATCATAATACGAGCTTAGGAAAATTTTCAAAAATCAATAAACTTAACATTAATAATAATAATAAGGTATAATTAAAATCTTTTTAATACAGACATCCACACTATCCCTTGCGGGATTAGGCAGACAGAACCGACATCTTATTTCGTACATTACTTTCTTACTGTATTAGACGCAGATTTTAACGACAAATTCTATCTTGCCTTTTGCTATTTATCTTGCTGAAGTGGGACAAACTTCTGTCAACCCATACAAACATTTGCTACTCACCAAAATCATACACGGTACCACTGTATTGGCAGCACCGAAGTAGAAGTAATATTAGTTCACCTATAGTAACCTCGATTTTCATTTAACTTATTAATAATTCTACATGCAATTGTAAATCGTTATATTATGGAAACAAGACCTAAGTATGGGAAGTCCATTACACCCGAGAAGTATAATATACTTAACGTATTGTATCTTTAATAATATAAAAAGTAATTATTTATTGTGACAGCAAATTGTTTGACCTATAATGTTGCCGATTCGCATGAAAACCAACGCACCCATCAGAATTATTATAATTACACTTTTTATTGTATCGATATTGTATTGTTCAGAGCAGGTCGTAATGGATCATTTCGTTGTCCAAATTGAAATAAAGGAATTTGTAATCGCTTTAAGTACGGCATGAATCGAATTTTAGCGGCTTCTTTAGCACAACGGTGGTCGAACGAATGCGCTTTTTGAGCTATATAATACCTTTTTGCCTTTTAAACGTTTTGTTTTTGGTTTCTCCTACTGCAACATGCATATAACGAATAACATTGCCTTACTCTGCCTTAATTAGTTTTATTGTAATTAAATACTTACTAAATCTGTACTCATTAATCTGAACAAAAAGCTAAATGGAAACCGAATGCAAACGTAATAATTAATTACTCTTTACTAAGATTTAGTTTAATGCAGTTTGATAAACTTACAGATAGTCGTCATAAATCAGAGTTAATATAAGGCGTTGGCGCAAATCTTCGATAAACTATAGAGTAGATAGTTACACGATCTCGGACCGCTTACAAGTTCCAACCATGAGGTACATACGACACGACAGATTTGCGAGCTTCGGCTGACCATAGGTGCTTAGCAAGGCCGTCCGCCTCCATATCCCACACCTGCATAGAACATAATATACAAAAGAAGCTAGCTATATTAATCTTTATGTATAACGACAGAAGTACAAAATTTGTCTAAGATACGGATCAAAAAAATATCGATATCGTTTCTATGTATCTATACTAATATTATAAAGATATAAAGTTTATGAGTTTGTGAATTGTGAGTTTGTGACGTTGTAGGGGATAATCTCTGGATCTAATGTACCGATTTAGATGAAATTTGGTAAGAAGATAGTTTGAGACCCTGGGAAGGATATAGGATACTTTTTATCCCGTTAATCATCCCTTAAGGCGGTGAAAATGAGAAGAAAATCTGTATGGGGAATCAAGCTAGGGACGAACCAGAGCGAAGCGAGGGTGAGTCGCTATGCTTCGTATGGGTATACCTATGGTAAGCATAATTTAAAATACCTACGAAGTTTAATTCAGAACTAGTATAAATGATTTTATTATAGAAAGAATAATTAAATAAAATATAATGATATCATTCAATACGTTTTCACTTACGTTTACTAATTACTAATACTCGTATAAGACAATATTTCTTGTTTTATTTATTGCTCTAGAAATTAATAACAGAAGATAGCAAATAAATATTTCAATTTTATTCAAAGGCTGATGAGATATACAAAATTTTACTGGTAATTAAAATTAAAATAGAATACTTTTTGCTTTGTTATATTTATACATATATACTTTCTTAGATTTACGCGAATATTTGACATTTTAAATAAAACTATTTTTATGGATTATTTCGCGGATTTATTTTGATTTTTGGTTTCCGACGTTTCGAATGCTTTACTGCAATTAATATTTTAACTTTGAATATTAGCAATATAAATTAATATTTTAACTTTTTAAAATTACATATAAAACAATAATATTATTGCTTAAATAAATAATTAATATTTTTAATTTTTAATTTTCTTTGTGGCTATACATATTATAGTAGGTAATAGTAACACTAAATAATATTATTAATTAATAAAGTTAAAAAAAAATGGTAATATATAATAATAATAGCTAATATTAAATAAATAATATTGCTGTATTTAATTATAATACCTATTTTTTTTTGAAATGTTTAGAATTAAAATCAACAATTGTTTTATGAACGTGCGAAGAAGTAAACAAAAATAATGGCTGCTGGAAGCTGTCATTATTGTGGGTTTGTTTATGGTCTTTGCGTCGCGATGTCGGGTAAAAAAACTTGAGAGTCAATATTGTTTTTATTATTCGTTATTTTCTTTTCAAAAATTGTAAGTTAAAGACATACCTATAGGTACCTATGAAAAAATATTTTTATTCTTCTGTATAAACTAAACAATTGACCTGAAAAAAATCGAATTGGCTACTATTCGCACGCGACACATATTGTAAGTCTTCTTTCAAATTCAATATCGAAGTCGATACCTACTATTAGAAATGCCAAAGTTTATATAGGTACCTACGTGTGTTTGGGGGTGTATGTTTGTGACTATGACCTTGAGTAACAGCTAGAGCGTCAGGTATGTAGAAACAAACCTGAGAGAAGCGAGGATACGTCACTAGTATAGTAGCTATAAAATAAAAGCACACACAAAACTTTCAGTGTTCTATATATAGACTATCGTGTTCATATAAAAAAATACCTTCATTTTATTGTAAAACTTTATATTTTATTTCAGTAAATTTTCACTAAATGATAAATAACTACGTTTCAAAAGCAATTTACAAAAAGTAATAACAAATATGAAATCGTTTATTGAATTATAATGCGAGTCTCACAATTCCGTTGGTGCACTGCCAACAATACCCAATTATAGTCCTCGATGCTTTTTATTAATTACATTTCTCGAGCTTTCGAGGCCTTTGTATTTTAATTCAGATAAATTCACAGCTTTCTTAGAAAAGAGCGGCCACAGTATCGAGACGTTACGCTTCTACCAAATGAATGACTTTATCATGCCGTGTGTTACGAATACAGATACCATAATGAATATGTACGCGGTAATAAAAGGTTTTTGTAAATGTTTTACGCGAGCAAATAGGCGTATCGAGAATGGTAGTTATCAAATTAAGATGCGAAGGCAACTAAGCATTACATTGGTAACGGCGATTGCGCAAGTAGCCTTGTAATTGTTTCTTTTTATCACATATCATGTAGCTATTTGCAAATAGTGCACTTACATCATGGATTATTTACGTACAATTTATATCTCGTCACTTCTTTCACATCCTATCACCAGATAATATAAAAGTATCTAGATAAAACAAAGCTGCTAGTTCAGCAAAAATGCACTATAAATAAATCAAAACTCAATTTCACCGCAATAACAATTCTATCTCATTAAATTTAAAAGAATTCCATGTAAAATAATTATTTTAGATGTCGAATTGATACAAAACAGTGTTTAACTTACGTAAATACAATAGATATCGTAATTTTGATAAATCGTGGAAGAATGTCCGCATATAAAAAGGTGTGGGTAAAGCCGTTCTACCACTGCGAATGGGGTTATTGCCAGAATTTGCAAGTAGATACACTTTGTGAAGTACAAAGTAGCAAACTGTTTTTTTTGTGTTTATTTAACATTTAGGTACACATTATTCTTCTGCTTTCGTATAATACGAATTAAAATAAATCAATGTATTTAATATAGGTTATAATTATTATGATTTATGAAACTCCTTAAACTTAAGTACTATTTACAACACCGGCACCTAGTTTTAATCGTCCAGTTTTTTTAGAAATATATTTTTTTTTTCTTATTTTATATGGAAGAGAGCCCTAAAGGGGTTCGAAGGCGAGCGAAGCGGGGCTGGCGCAGAGCCAACAAGGTGAATGCCACGAGAACCACGCAACCCACTTCCAACACGCGGAAATATTGTCCGTCCTTCGATCAATCTCCCATATGACTACAAATCCAAATGCTATCACTTTTTTACATCTATATCACTTTAAGGAAGCCTTTTGAAACGTTTTCACTTAAAATTAATAGTTACATCCAATTTTTGAACATACAAAAATAGTAACGTCAAATAAAATGATTTTCGTATAAGAAACAAATTAACATTTTATTTCTTATGAGATTTTGTTTCTACTATAATTCTAATAGGACTATCAAATTTATATATATTATAATGTGTATATATTTTTATTGCCGGCTTTAAGACGTCACAAACATTTTTGATTATTCAACACAAAGATAAGTGTCTTAAAATGAATATAGCTTAGGTACATCTTATGTAATAATATTATTTATACCAATATAGATATGGTGCGTATAAACCAGCTGAAATGCAAATTGATATAATGCAGGAAACGTCTGAGTGGATCTCACAGCGGGCGCCTATATCGCATGAGTAGCATAAGTTCGTTTACATACGACAGACTACTATTTGCATCCCAAATGTTCGGTGCGACCGCTCGTTGGCCCGACTTATCTCTCTTCCCGGCAAAATATTACAGTTTGTGCAATGCCACTCACAACGTGCATATCTGAATGTCAATAAAGGCATAAAAAGGCAAGTGGAGGCGTTCCCCGCGCACTCGAGGCGGATGTGCTTTCCACCAATGAGCGGGTCGAGCTGAGCATATTCATAACGATATTACCGCCGCCGTTGCTGCCGCGTCATCATAATTCATATATAATAACCCTTCCGACGACGGCGCGATGCGGCGCGCCGCCCTGCATCTCATTCACTCGCCGCTTATCTTCCCGAGCGGAACAGAGACGCTTACCGACACCCACTCGATCATAATTCATAATTTTATTTCTTAAAACATAGCTAGCCATTCCCACACTCCAGATCTCTTTTCATTTGTGAATCGGATGGTTGCTGTTTGTTTATAAGAAAATACACTGCACTGTTTTAACTAATCCTGTAATATTTATGAGAATAACAGAATTGAGATGTTGTTTATTTGAAATATAAGAAACAGAACTTCTTGGGTATGTAGAGACGATGACAGCTATTTGTAATTGGAATATGACGGGACGCGTGCGCGTGCGCTCGGGGCATCTCATTCGTCAGTTTATAAATAGAAATCAGCGTCTGCGCCGTGACGACTCGCGCCATTAATTTATATGAAATAACTGTCGGCAGTCGGAAAAATAAGTTCAATCGAGAACGGCCTTCTAAACGATAATATTTATGTTTTACGAAGTGGCAGACAAGTCCGACTCATGTGTTGACGTATGTACATCAGAAACTTACATATTTATTTACTCCGCAGGCTCAGAAAGATTCATTTATTCTATATAGCTGAAATATTTAGTGTCTTTATCTGAATGTATACTTTCATTGAATAAAAGGATAATTGAAAAATTAAAACAATTTACTTTTTTACACTGACCTCCTTCCTCTCTCACAATACGTACCTACCTAAAGGTAAAATTTTCGTGTAGAACATTATTCTTATGGATTGCACTTTATAAACCTCATAAAATGTTTCCACACATCTTCGCAAATTTAATAAAGTTCCGAAAATATAGATTTCAGACGTTATGATCCTCAAGAAATACGCAAAAGACAAGTGAGACTGGAGACATAAATTCGTTAGCGCGCGTGTAATCGTCACGAATATACCAACAATAATTCACAGCATTAAATTTTAAAGTTGACATCAGAAAGAACATCTTATAAAGTCATAAGTCAGCTTCATTTTAAATGAATCTCTTTTCAAGTATGTGTCATATGTATACGTTTTCGCGTATTTATTACAAACATGTGCACATAATTAAATTGCATATATTATTGCCGATACTTTTGCTTTATTTAAGAGTAAGAAATATTTAATATATTATTTTAAAACAATTTTCAATTTTCCTTATTAATTAATTAAGATCATTTTGCAAAGCAATGTTTGTTGCTAACTGCAGCAAATTCATTAAGCACACAATTCAATGATCATTCACTACGAAAGATAACCGATATCAATCTAATGGATTCTCAAGCTACCCGAAGTGAACTCGAATTCAAATCTAAAGATATTTAAACACATCGCCCTCGCGCTGCTCTCTCCATAAATAAAATAAATACAAATATTTTCACGTAAACGAGTAACTCGAAAGCGTTCATTTACATTTGTGAATGTAATAAATGGGGTATATTCTAAATACAAAATTAATTTAAACTGGAAATAGATCGTATTTTGTTTGAATATATCTAAACTCATTTGATTAGAACAGAAACAGACCTAAATACTTTACAAATAAATAAATTCGTCATCTGTGCTCTTATTTATAAAACGGTAAACGGCTCCTGAATAAAAACTTCATGGCATAATCATTTAAAAATGCTAACAGACCCAACATTTTAAATAGACGTCAAAATCAGCGTAATTAATAATTTTCGCATACGTTTTTCATCTCTACAAGCAATATCTATTGATAAATTATGTACTTAAAGCGGATTCTTAAAATAGTTGAATATATTGTTATTTATAATACAAGCAGACATTTATTATGTAATATTATTAGCAATAAAATAAATTAATAAATATAGTAACCTTATTTATATTACTACAATTGAATCGTTTGCTATATATTTACCACTGTATCAGAAGAAAGGGTTGCCACACCTGCACGTACTGCTTTCCCATACCCTTTTACAGATTTACGGCTACGTATTGAGCCAACAAATAAGATCATCCAAAAATGCTTCTAAAAAATATAATAAGAACAGCACAAAAAGCTCAGCAAGACACGTCTACGTCGGCTGCGCACCATTGGTTGTGCGAACAAAGAAATATTGCCGCGCATTATATCTGCTCTCCAAAGCTAAATTATTTAACATTCTCATTTTGGAAACAATAAGACGTATTACTGGTATATATAATTAATTGATAAATATTGATTCTGTATGATGGTTACGTCTCAAATATAACTTAAGAGTTTTAAATTAAAAATATACCTACCTAAGTTTTATGTTTATGGATTTAGACTGTAGTAGTTATTTCTATCTATTATGATTCAAATATTTATATCAATTTATTTCTGTTTTGTGATGTGGTCTCAATCATACTTGAAGTTTTTAGAGTATATCAGTTTAGCCCAAATAAAAACTGATCGTTCTCTAAAAAATAATTTTAGAGAAAAGTTTTTGTGATTTATATAACAAAATATTGCAAAGTAAATTAAAGTAGCGCCTAAAGTAGTTCCTATTGTAAATATTAATGTTACCAATAAAGAATTTGCCTTATCTAAGTTTTTTTTTAAACTACTTATAAAGATTTGGCAAGCAGTTACGATATCTATCTAAGCGATCGTCGGTCATCATTCGTTGGTCCTAGTGTAGTTTATAACATATTTTAGTGCACCATAAACAAACATAGCAAGAGTTTACAGCTCCTGACGGTCTCGACGCACATTCGAGCCATTGTGCCTCTTATAATTTTTATTAGGGGCAATCCGTCCGGCTTGATTTACTTCTTCCCGAACTGATGGATCTTTCATTTAATTTACGATTCTACCCTAGTGTTCCGAACGTAATAAAAAGGTACAAAACAAGCAAAAATTACTGTGGCGAGTTGTAGGCTCCATTTTTTATATATTTACATACGTAATTAAATATACTCTAATAATGATATCCCACTTAAATCGAATTGTAATAAATTCATTGTTTATGATTTTTTGAAAATAGCTTTAGTATATTGAACTTTGTTTTTCGTTCACATATCTAAAGAATAATTATTTAACTACGGAATAAGCAACAGATAGGTACATATTATGTATCAGAAAATCACTCTATTATTTAAATTTTGCAGAGAAATATGTTTAAAATTCCATGTTCATATTTTTAGTGCGATTCCTGCGATCGGCCCACTGCGTCTTATCACCCTGACAGTCTCTTGGCAAAATATCAAAGATTGTTATTATTGTAATGACGCTTCTACTCATAATACTATTGCCTTGGCAAATGTCTTCATATCTTAAATAAGTCATAAATTCTCAAAACATTAACGTCAAGTCCAATTCTAAATCACATTCATTGATTTTTTATGTTATACATACAAATATCTACGTCGTATTAAAAATAACCTTTCAATAAATAAGAATAGCTGGGTCCTTATACTCCTTTATGTTCTAATTTATTCAGCAAAAAGTTAATTCAAAGCAAAAATTTTAATTATTCCTATGTATGTCATGACCGTTCGAACCCAACACGTTCCCGGTGCGTCTCATTTGCAAGTAACAGGACGTTATAGACCCACGAAGGCAATAAGATAAAAAGACGCTCAATAAGGCGCGATCACAGGCAAAAATGAAATAAATTGCCGCTGAATAAGAGTGCTGTGTGCAATTGAGGCGAACACGGTGCTCATTAGACGGCCGACAGGGCACCACTCCGCCTGCGCCCTGCTTGGCCCGCAGCCTGGCGACACGTTGCCTAACAATTCCAATATATGCATTTTTAATGAGTTCATAATACTATTCAGAAATCCTTAAAGTTTACGACATTCAAAGAAATAGACAAAGGCTTAATCATTTAGTGTAAAGGGTGGACCCTTTGCAGAAAAGCTGTAAAACAAGTGAACATTAGCATAACAAAGATGTAGATTTAGAATAACAAAGTAAGCTTTTTTTTTTACAAGATTTCACTTTCAGTTATTAGTTCTAATTTAAAATGCAAATGGCTTTATTATAAAAGAATTTACAATGAATGAGTCGATATAGAAATTGTTCAAAACCGCAGTCTGCAGTGAAACAATGTATTAACTACAGGAGCCACCGAAGCACTTCGTGACGAGACAAAAAGTTATTTCTCTCGGACATGAAATCGAAACCGGAGAATAATGGAAGGAATGTCGTACTTTGCATACAGCGGAAAATTAAAAGATTTTTAGTTTTACTAAACGGGCAAATAAAAAATCCTTAGAGTCGAAATCGCCTTACATATTTTTATTTAAAAAGAATATAAATTATTATATTATAGAATCTCTAACTGATGTGATGATGTAGAGATTAAATAATATAAAAATAATTTGGAGCTTTAATTAGAAAAAAAACTCTGACAGTTTTGTTTTCATTGTTCGAATGTTTTTAATTTAATTCTGGTTTTATCAAAATTGTTGTTGAGTACTCGTCATTAACACACATTTATAACAATTGATTTTGCCACTAAATAAAAAGTCTATTCGACTCTACACTATCTGTTGTGTCAGTAACAAGGGTGGTAGACGACCGAGCGTAGTGTACGTCACACATCTCCACGCACCATTTGCAAGCACCCGAGCGCATCCCGTCGCATCCCGCCGCATCCCGCGTCATCCCACATCTCGGTGATCCCACAACAGAAATAGTATAATGTCATATCAAATGTCTGTAACTCTGTAGACGCGTGCCGTGTTACGACGACCCCTGCCTCCTTTAGCCACTCCGCCACAGAACGATACGTTGTGCTTCTGAATATGATTATCACATTACGCAACTATAAATTTGGCATTTTTTAAATCTTTTCCTTAGGTAAGTAATAATATAAATGCAAAAGTGAATCTTTAGTTTGTCTGTCTGTATTTGGCACGGTAATGGAGCAATCGATGGACGTGATAATTTGTGGACTGGAGGAAAACACAGTTTTTTATGTGACTACGTCAAGTAATTATTGATTATTTTATTAGATATACATATCATAAGCATTTTAAAGTATGTAATACTAAATGCCATGCGTTTGTGTAGCTGAATAAATCGAGGTCGGGTTAATAAATTGTTAGATTTAAAATTATTCTTTATTAATTAGGTACTTAGATATACCTAATTATAAGAACATAGCAGGCAGCAAGTCATAGCCTTTT